GGGGGGGGGTCATTCTCCGCATAGTATTACATCATTCTGCCAAACACGAACATAGAAAGGCAAGATGCATGCCAATAAAAGCGGAGAAAAAATTAAGGCAGACGACCGTACAGGAGATTGCTGTCTCGCTCTTCAAGTTTATCTGATAACGATTGTTTTGTTTCATTTACTGATTACATGACGTCTGAGTGCAGACCTTATGGCCAGTCAACATTGTATACAGTGGTCTAGACTTGGAAGGATAAGTCCTTCCCATTTTTGGGGTCTTTCACAGTGCAACGCAATTTCTCTCAAATGACGGTCTCTGGCGCTCATCTAAGCTGACTTCCTCGGTGCGATTGATACAATTTTTTGAGGGGAGCGTTTTTGCTGTGCAAAATTAACTTTTACAATTAAAGGACATGTGAAGTAAGGTCATTATGCATAGGTCATCTTGCCTTAAGGCACTCGACTAACTTTGTGCGTTTCCATCTTCTTGTCTAGAGAGCTGGTATCAGGTTTGTCTTCATACAGATAGTTATTAGGACGCTGCATAAGAAATTCTCATCGCGAAAATGTGAAAACTGTGGAAGCTTGTACTGTAAAAATACCGTATCTTCCTATCGATATATAACTTATCAACATCGTCTTTGTTGTGTGTTTGCTGGGGAGATACCAGCCTGTAGTAATACATGTCTCCAAGAACGAGAAGGTGTGTGAAATGTGAAATCATAGCTTGATTCAGAAACTTCCTCGAAGTAAAGTGCGATCCAGAAAACTAATACTTTCCTGGGGTCTTATTGAAGCCAGCTGTCCGATGCAGCTGCTGCCATAGGGTTCAATCAAAGAGCGAAGTTGGTCACGAGCCAGATGGTCGAGAACGATGCTTGAGAACGATGCAGTGTCCGGTGAAACTGTTGTCCTCCACTAGCTTGATGAATTGTTTGTATAATCTATTAATAAGGTGAATCATTGAGTGTCTATATAATTATCGGAGCTGATAATGTAGTTGAGAGATCTCCACTTTTTTTCAACCTTGAGCGCTAGAGCGCAGTTAAGGAGGTTAGCCCATAATTGTGCTCAGTAAAGTTTCTTCGCCGAGAACGTACAGTCGTTTGACCTGAGATTCAGGAGGGAGGGAGTACTGGGTTGGGTGAATCAATCGAATATTCAACTCATACCCCACCCTAGCTTGTCGCACGAGATAAACCTTTCACCCCCATCCCAGCGCTCCTCCTCTCCTGTGGATTAGTTTAAAGCTATATTCTTTCGCCTAGAGCCGTTTCTAAGCACAGATTAGGTTGTCTACCCTTTCTTCTCTGCACTTAGTATAAGGAATGAGGGCCGTCGTAAACCGGGCGACCCCACTTGTCAGTGGATAAGACAGGAAAAACAGCAGTTGCCGAACAGAAACAAGCATACAATGCCAACTGAGAGACTGCCCAGCACATTCAGCGCATTTTGAGTTTTTCGATGACACAACTAGCCGATCGCCTCTTTATCGTTGAGCAGCGGTCAGTTCTATTAATCAGTAAGAATGTAAGATAGTGTTGTTGATTCGATCAATCCCGTTTTTGTGATGTGCCCTCAAATTTCA